CCCTATGATTCAGGCTTCTATTACAAGACCTGCGGTTATGGTTCCTCAAGTAGATCCATTTCGCGGATCTCCTGCAGCTGTAGGTGAGGCTAACCAACCCTTTTCCTTGACATGATTAGCTGACACAATTTTAACCTAATTTAGGGTTTGATTTTATCTGGTTTTGAATTGTATGTTTAATTGCACAATCTACTGTGGGTTATAAAAGGGTTTGTTAGTTTACTAGGATCTTGTAATATCATGGAGAAATCAGTGCATAAACTAGGGATTCTCAGAAGGAAGCGAACCACGTATTAGGTGCTAATGCATTGATGGATTCCTTTTTTGTTGTCATTATAATATTGGGAATAGGCTACTTGATTTGAAACTTGCTAAATTATGACAAACCTTTGATAATACATAAAGAGTTGTTGAATAGTCATCAATCAATATAATAACGTTACTTTCAATGTTATATATTCTCACCATTGTCTCCTATGAAGCCATCTCCCCGGACCATGGTGTTTAGTATTTATGAGTGAGTTCTGAGTTTGGATTAGTTGATCATTCTCCTTATCAGATGTTCCTTGCATTCGTGAATGGCGTGCTTTAGAATGATTTTTTTTGGAGGCTGTCTGTTTTCAGTAGTATTACGATCAATATACAATAGAAGTTCCCTTCTCCAAAACATTGCAAGTAAAGGGAAAAACTTACTCTGATAGTTCCAGGATTTTCCATCTTAGGGATTTCCTTGCATCTTCTTCCCATGTATGAAGACAATCTTTAGGCAAACATTCAGAAAAATGGAATTTATTTATTGAAAGTATTTTATTGATGTTCTCTTTCTAGGCTGTCCCATGTACAAGTCACCTGGCTTTCCAGTCTCGACACCCTTGAATACCACCATGGAGTATAGCAATCTGTCCTCAATCACTAAGCACCCATCAACAAGAAAGCGAATGGGGTCGAATGCTGTTGCAGAATCTGTTCCAGATGCTAGAAAGTCTCGCAGCAAGTTAGCTTCAAGGAAAATACCAAGTAAAGGTAAAAAAAAATCCATGTGCCTAATTTATGTTCTTGCACATTTTTTATTCTCAGAAATTGATGTATTTCTAACTCATTTTATCTTCAGGTACATCCAAACAATGTGATAATGCTGCCACTACTCAAGCAAATGTTCAGCCCTCTCCTGTGATTGAGTCATCAGCACAAAACGGCACGCCCACTGGTTCAATAGTTCAAGCATCCGGTGTTGCTAAGAGTTTGTTCAATCGGCCCATACCATTCCCTCCAACTAGTTCATCTAATCCCAATACACCACCACAACCATTTTCCTCTCACACTGACAAATCTGCATCTCCAAGGGGCATTTGTGCGAATGCTTACAGCAGTAATAACAATACTCCTCAACAAGTCACTCCTACCAACTGCAAGGTGATCACATCAGAGAGGGTTGCAGTGAGCCCATTTAAAAACATGACGTACTACACCATGGAGAGGAATCAGTGTATCTCTTCTTCCTCTCCAGTTAAGACAACCTTGAAGAGGATGTGCAAGAGGGATTGTGTGAAGGGAAGGCTAGACTTTGATGGTTCTGATGCAGCAGTGAACTTGGATGAATCAATTGACAATAAGTTCTCTACATCTGAGTCTGATAAGGAAGGGGGCATTTTTGACTTAGACCTGCCTAACTTAGACATGTTTGGGGCTAATTTCTCCTTCTCTGAACTGTTGGTTGATCTGGACCTTGATTGTGAAGGAGATGCTTGTCCATGCCTGCCAGCCTTGGCAGCTTCTGCCGACACCATTTCTGGGTATTGGTTTTTCTTTGGCCATATTCTAATAACCTCATATTTCTCTACTTTCTTCTTCACTGCATTGAATCCTTTCTTGGTTTCTTTCCTCTGATATTTTGGCTTCGTACTATGTACAGGTCATCACATGAATCTAGGGATGGTAATTTTGGGACTGATCAAGTCATATCAGAGTTTTCCTCTACCATGACTGAGGTGATTTCTGGAAAAGATGCGCATTCGCAAGGTAATGTGAATGAAGCTCCTCAACATAATTGCTCCTAATCTATCCATTATCGTGCATATATTGAGTGATTTTTTTTCAGGTCCTGACATAACAGCTGTGAAGTCCGTAACAAAATGTATAAGAATTTTAAGCCCTGGTAAATTTATCACTTGACGCCACAAATTTCATTTTTTATGTCACCTTTCCTATTTCTAGGATCCTTGAATTATTTGGCTGTATCTCGAATTGCAGCTAAAAATCAAAGGAGTTCTTTGGATCAGGAGAATTGTTTGGCAAGTAACTGACTGACATGATGATGCAAAAGACTCTTTAGACTGACCTGGTACCTGTATAGCACATACTGCAGAAGATACATTATCCATCTTCGCTAGTTATCTAGGTTTATAATTTCTAGATCCTCTATGGCTTTTGTCTATCATTTGACCAACCCTTGAATTCTTAGCTCACATGTGGTCTTTACTTTGATGTTCTGCCTACAATATTGGTCATTTAGCCAAGACTCATGGTTACAAGCATTTCTATGCTACACAATTTAGTTGTATCAAAAGCTGATTTATTTCTGATAAAAAGAAGTGACGAATTCTTCTTTACATTGATTTTAGATGGGATTAATCTTATCAACTCTATGAACAGTTGAATATCTGCAAGAGTTCTTAATTCAAATGCCATTAGTATTTAAGCATGCTGAAAGATGGAGGATAAATGACAGAATAAAGATATCTAAGCTCAGGCCAGGTACTGGTGAAGTTTGTCCACTTCATCTGGGCTTCCAATGAAAATAGGTGTGCGCTGGTGTATCTGCCACAAAATCACAAATTCAAACCAAAGTGTCAGCAGTTGTTTGATGCTCAAAGTCAAACCAAATATGTGATTCAAGTCGCAGTTTCCGATTCTAGCACTCTGATTGGCAGTGCCATGGTTCTATCTCCACACAATTTTTTATAGGGTCAAGGTTGATAAAATTCCAATCTAAGATGAAGTGGTGAAGCTGTAACGAAATCAATACCTGTTCTGGCTTGATGTCAAGGATTCTCTGGTGGCCATCCGTTGCTTTGCCACCAGCTTGTTCCACGAGATAACTCATTGGTGCGCATTCATATAGTAACCTTAAGTTCCCATTTTTGCTGTTCTTGTTCTTTGGGTTTCCATATATGCCACCATGCAGAAGCATCCTATGTATTTTCCCAACAAGGCGGCCTATATAACGTCCAGAGTAAGGCTTCCCGTTCGGTGGCCCTGGCTGCCTAAGGTAGCCAAGGTAGCTCTGCAGTTTACCTTCCCACAGGTCATAATTTCCTTCATTAAACGAGTAAATCTTTCCTGTTTTCGGGATTTTGATATCTTCATGTGTTAGTACAAACTCCCCGAATGCGGGATCCAAGGTAAAAGAAAACACCCCTTTCTCTATAGATATTGTGAAGACGACCGAGCTTGAATAGAGGCAATAGCCAGCAGCAAGCTTCTGCCTGGCTGGCAAGCGTTGATGATGCACCTTTGTCTTTCTTCGTCAAGCTGTCGTGTAAGAGATGAACGATGTGATGAGAGCTAAAATTAATGTAAATTTGCAAGTGCCTTGAATTGGCTATTCAGCACAGAGGTAAAGGGTTTGCATTTTGAGAACTGCCGCTTGTTTTTCTTGGCCAGAAAGTGAGAAACCAGATGACTTACTGTGGAGTCATCGTCAATATTAAAGAGGCATTGCTCGTCAGGGCCATAAATTCCAAAGACAGATCCAGTGGTTAATGCTATATCAATGTTGGCAGACCCATCAATTGGATCAAACACCACAATATAGTTCCCAGAGTAAGTTTCCTCGACAGCAACAGGTACGTCTTCTTCCTCTGATACTATAATCGCTGTGCGGCCACTTGACCTTAAACAATTGCAAAACAGCTAGACGTAGTAAAATGTAAGCTATGGTAATTTTCACTGACAAAATGTTAACTCACAAGTAACAAACTTATCGATGAAATCAAAGTAGAATCAACCTCATTGGAGATTACATCCAGCTTCTTCTGATCTTCACCTTGGATGCTGGTGGTTCCTTGAACGCCAGTGAGATTGATTATGCTCGATCGTTGAAGAAGGGAAGCAATCTGTTTACATGCCAATGAGATACCGGATAAAACCACTGTGAGCTCTGCATCAATGTTCCCTGCTTGTTCTTGCTTCAATAGCCAAGTTGTCAAGTTTTCGAGCGCATACCGGCCCTTCTTTCTCTTCTCTTCTTTAATGCCTGATTCTGCTGCTGTAATTTCCACAACTTTGCATCGAATTCCGGAGGCAAAACGCCTACCTAATGATTGTCTAATATGATGAGAGCGGTTTTTTATAGGAAACAGGTGAGAAATAATGGAAGAGCGAGAGTTTGAGAAGGTGATTTGTCAAGAGGAAGGCGGAATTGCCTCAAACATTGTTGCGATTGTTGGTTGTCTGTGTGTTCCAGGGTTCTCACTTATCTTCCTTCCTGCGCCTATTGTGTGATTGGGATTCATTCTAGGTGAAACTATAACTTTGTTCGACTTATGAGCCCACTTGGTATTGAAGCTGTCTTCAGGCTTCGACATAACGGGCCCTGCTCCCGCATGAAATGAAGTTATTTTACATAAAATATTTTATGGTAGTGAATCTTCTAATCAAGCTCATGTCCAATCATACAGTATAAACCTGTTGGGTTTTTTTTACCCCTTCTGAACTTGATTGCTAAAACTTGCAACCGTGGCTTACCGAGAATTCCTTGACGATCAATCTCATCTTGAATTTCCTAGGAAATTCCTCAGACCTTATGATAAGCCTTTCAACAACCTGATCTCGTTTGGTGTTTGGGAGTGTCTTTGTCTTCTTATAACATCCCAAGTCATTTCCATGAATCAAAATCTCCGCAAGCGTAATTTTTCCTTTTCATTTATTGATGGACTTGGAGTTCATGTTAGGAGGAAATCCACAATTTTTTTTAAAGAAAAAGTTCAGTGCTATTAATATTTGAAGATGAAATTGCCTGCTCTATGGCTATGTTCAGCTGCCGACATCATTGATGCACAGCTGGGCTATAGCAGCAACAGTTCTTCAAAAATTGAAACTCAATTCTCAGTGATAAAACAAAATTCATGTTCTTCCTGGAAGTCCTGCTGCAATGGTTTCCTGATTGGTTCTTAGCATCAGGTTTCAATCTTCCATTGCTTCTAAAAAAACGATTTGACAGTCATACACAAACGATATTCTGTGTTCTTAATTCCAGTAGTGTATTTATGAGGAATTGGCATGGCCCATGCAAACATTTAGCTTCTCAAAACAAAATGAATCTTTCCTCTTACATTTTAATCAAGCCAAATACTTCTCCAATTTCTCCACTTCCTCCACGCTCCCTATGTAAAGCGGAACACGCTGGTGTATCTGTTGTAAAAAACAATGCCTTAGTTCTTAACTCAAAGAAGAAAAGAAGATTTCACGAGTTGAATGAAGCATATTAGACTGACCTCATTAGGTGTGATATCCAGTACTCTCTGATGCCCGTCTGATCCTTTCCCACCAGCTTGTTCCACTATAAAGCTCATCGGTGCACACTCATACAGAAGCCTCAGCTTCCCATTCTTGCTCTTCTTGTCCCTGGGGTACCCATAAATGCCACCGTACAGCAGCGTACGGTGGAAATCACCGACCAAGCTTCCAATGTATCTAGCGGAGTAGGGCTTGCCACTCGGACCAGGGTCTTTAAGGTCATCAATGTACTTCTTCAGCTTGTCATCCCACAACTGGTAGTTTCCTTCATTAAATGAATAAATCTTCCCGGCCTTTGGTATCTGGATGTTTTCTTGAGTTAAAACAAACTCTCCATACATTGGATCCAAGCTGAAAGAGAACACGCCTTTTCCTATAGTTAGCACAAAAATCACTGAGCTTGAATACATGCAGTAGCCAGCAACAAGGAGGTTATTTCCTGGCTGGCACACATTCACAATACATCTCTGTTCCGTTTGGTCAAGCTGCAATCACCAAATTTTCAAACAATCAAGTTATTAACCATAGAGTATCTTCTTTTTGTGTGTTTGATAAACTAATCTGTTTGTGATTGCATCAATTATGGATGGACTCACAGTGGAGTCATCTCCAATATCGGCCAGGCACTCGTCATTGGGGCTGTATATTCCAAAGATGGAACCAGTAGACACTGCAGCATCAATGTTGGATGATCCATCTAGCGGGTCAAAAACCACTATATAGTTTCCAGAGTAACTCTCCTCCACTGCCACTGGCACGTCCTCTTCCTCTGATGCTATGATTCCTGTCCTCCCACTTGATCTCAAGCAGCTAGAGAACACCTGTAGTTGCAAACTAACTAATTTAAAAAAAAAAACATTTCGCTGAATGGTTCAAACTAGAGCGAATCTAATTCATGAAGAAGAGAATTATCTAAGACTAGAGAAGTTGCTCAATTGGACCACAAAATAGGAAAATATACGGTGCTAGTTTTCCTACTTCGTTTATAAGCAAAAGCCAGTCATCTTCCACTTAGCTTTTAGTTTATTCCCATAATGAATTTGCATAAATTTCATGACTCATATAACTGTTCTGTTAGTTTGATGCAAGATAATTAGTTGTTAAGTACAGACCTCATTAGAGACCACGTCAAGCTTCTTCTGGTCTTCTCCTTGAATGTTAACAGCACCTTGAACTCCAGTTAAGTTAGAAATGCTAGCTCTTTGCACCAAAGAGGCAATCTGTTTACATGCCATTGAAATGCTTGATATAACAATAGTGAGCTCAGCATCAATAACACCAGCCTGTTCTTGCTTCAACAGCCAACCAGTCAGTGTTTGAATCTCAAACGTACTCTTCTTTGTTTTAGCCTCTGAGGCCGTGCTCACAGCCATGCACTTGAGCCCATCACCACCACGTTTTTTCTTGTAAGAACTAGTGCTGTTGGGGTATGGCACCAGTGTTTTTGAGTCAAAGACACATAACTGGGAAGGAGACGGGCGAGACAGAGAACATGAGGTTAAGAAGAGAAGATGTGATGATGAAGTTGTTATTGCTGCTGCTTGTGCAACCATGGCTGCTTGTTTTCCTGGTTCGTGGCTTTGCTTCTCTTCTAGTTTTCGGATATTTTTTTTTTTAATTATTGGTTTTTCTTACATGGATTGTGTTGGGCAATGAAGTAGGATTGTGAGGTGGGAAAAGATTTCCGTTAAGTCCTGGGTCCCACACTTATCATCCTTGTTTTGCTTCCGTTTTGTGATCACTGTTATGGAATATATAGATATTCTTTTTCTTGGTTCGGGGAAGGGAAGGGAAGGGAAGAGGATGGGGAGTGGCAAATTGCAAGTGGGCTCGTTTTCTTGTTCAATTGGGCTGGTGTTTAATCAAAGCCGAGCCTCGTTTTCGGCCTTTTAAACAAAAAGATATGGGAATATCATGTTTGTTGTCGGGAGTGACGGAATCGTACCGGTAACTTCTATAAGAAAAAAAAACATGTTGTTATTAAAATAAAAAAAATACATGAATAAAAAAGAAGAGTTTTAATTAAAGGAATAAATTTATTCGTTTTTTTATTTAAATTAGTTCCATTCTTATGAATATTTATTTTAATTGCTTTAATTTCCATTTAAAAAAAATATTACTGGTAAAACATTTTTTTTTCTAAAAATAAATGGAAATGCGTGAAAGGAAAGAGAATTTCTTACTACAAATAGATATTTAATCTTGATCATCCTTACATAATTGACCCAATTAACATTTTTTATGAATGATTTAGTAATACTTGTTGATTATCATTATTATCTTTAAAAAAAAAACATTTAACTTTAATCAAAATTTATATCAAACAAAAAAATATTAGAAAGATTTGAGGTAATTTCAGTGTTATACTCATCTATCTTATCTAGGATGCAACTTAGATTTTTTATGTTTTGGAAATGTTCTACTTTTTATATATATCAAAACCCAATTATCTTGTTTAAAGATAACATGTCTATTTTTACAACCTTTGCTAACTTTAAATATATGTTGTTCATTCTTTTTCTCTACAGCATCTTCTTCGTAATAGGTATAAGATTGTGACCACACCTTCAGCTCACGACAAAAATGTTGGAAATGAAGACCATATGTCTATGATTTATGACTATAGGGATAAGATTGAGACCGAATTATATTCGATTTATGATAAGATCTTGAAGTTGCTCGACTCGAGGTTGATTCCAAAGGCCTCAGCTAGTGATTCAAATGTGTTCTATTTGAAGATGAAGGGAGATTATCACAACTTAGTTGAAGAAAGGTCTTTTGATTTTGTAGTTAATGGATTTAAAGGTGTGTTTTGGTGGCTTCTCTTGTGATTCTTGCAAAAAATAACCTTCATGTAATCTTGTATTTGTTTCTTCTACTTTCTAATCATCAAATTTATACCAAAATTGATTGGCTCTTAACTTCTTTTTATTCTACTATGAAATTCTCAATTCTCCTAGTTTATTTTTCAAAGTATCTTTTGAAAGATATTTTTCATGCAGAGAAAAGCTTTAGGTGTTTTCCATGCATAAATTATGAACTTACAACGATCCACTTAAATAATTTCCAAAAAAATGTTGTGTATACATTTCTAAAATACCTTAATTATTTCTGTTTTGCCATGGCTACACAATGGTATAGCTCTTTGTTTCTTGAAAATATTAATAATTTATGGTTTGTCGGTAATAAATATATTAATAAACTTACTAATAGATAAAAAAATATCAAATAAATTTTATTTGTCTCATTTCATGGGTATCTTTATAAGTAAATATAATATATTACTAATAGAATATCATTTATAATTTTATCAATGAGTTAATAGTAGCAATAATATTTGCAGTAATTTTTTTTCCAACTCTTTTTGGAATATATTTATGGAGTTGTTCCGGTAGCAACACCATCAATAATATTTTAAAAATATATTCAACAAAAGTAAAAAATAATTAAAATAATATAAAAATCAAATATTTATTATAATTTTAAACATTTGTACGTTCAAATACAATAAATTTAAAATAGAAACAGCGCTAAAGGAGAAGGTTGGTTGTCGCTGGGACCATGGGTCTTATTAGTGCACATGTATCATTCATCTATGATCCCATATCCATTATTGATCAACATGGTTCTTCATAATCAATAGTGAGTTATTCATATGTTTCACATTTATTAATCTAGTATCGCCACGAATTTCAAAGTTTAAGTCCTTAAAATCAATTATAGTTATCCAACAATTAAAGCACTATGGTTTGTCTATAAGTTTTCAGCAGTAATGTTAGAAAATTTATACACCTTATTTCTATCAGGTCCATTAAACAATCTTGCCTTCAACCACAAATCCAAATCTATATCCAGATGGGTCAAAGGATCGTCTTTGTATTCTTTCATTCAACTGGGTGTTATTTGTATCTTGGAAAGAAGAAATAAATTCATCAAATTCAAGTAAATTATAACTTACGAAAAAATGATTGAAAACAAACATATCACAAAATACTAAGCTGGCTATCTATGAATTGTTATAACCTTTTTTAGCAGTTATCACTTCACATATGCATTTCAACAAAAAGCTCTATCGGGTTTGGCTCACCTTTAAAAACTATAGTTTTCAAGAAAAAAATGTTGTCAGTTAAATATATTTATAAAAGATAACTAATAAAAAAATAGATGTAATAAAAAAATCCTACCATTCACTTCGCATGCGAAATAAACAAAACAGAGCTACTGATGTGCGTTGTAATTGAACCATGAATAAAAAGATTTGATTTTCCACATTGGACTATCACCGTCACGTGAAATATGTGGATGTCACATGCTTAATGTATTCCACCTATACAGTATCTAAGACGTGCGACATTCTAAAATCCTTCCAAACTATCATGTCATTCCAACTTACAAGCTTTCTTTCTCACATATATCTTAGTTTTTTTTTTTTTTGCATTTCGTACAAAAAATCACGCAACCTATATGGTATAAATTAATTATCTATTAGTATAAAAAAATAAAATCATGCAACCTATATGGTACAAGATTCTTTTAAACCCTCCTCGCAACATTATTATCAACTCTCACCCATTCAAATTATCCCTTGAAAATTTATAAAAGAAATTTTTTAGCAATTTCAATATATTAACCATATTAACAGAAAAAATATATTTAAGTTAATACTAACCTTGAAAACTATGCATCGACCTGCGGTTTTTCTTCAGGATGTTTGGAAACCTGGTTCCTGTCGTACATGATGCGGTATCGTGGCGATCATTTACCCTCAAGGAAAAAATATAATGGTTTATCTTACAAATATAGAGAGATAAGAAATTCTTGTCTCTTATTAGTAAAATAAAATGGGAGTCGCCACCTAATATTTTGGTCACTAAGAACCCTAACTAGTCTTGGAAATTGGGATACGGAGACTAGTTGCGTAAAAGAAGGGTATTAACACCCTAAATATGCCCTACCTAAGATAAGCTGTATTATTTTATTGTCCGATAAAAAACCTATGGTCTTATGTTGTTTTCTAATTATTAGTTTATCTACGGTTATAGAAAAACTCTCCTTCATAAGGAGGTTTTTATCTTAAATGAATAAAACCTAACTACTCTATGTCATCATGAAAAAAAAAGTTAATATCTAGAATACGCATTATGTGTGATGTCATACCCCAGATATTAAAAGATAAACAAATTTTTTTTTTTCTATTTTGGTCAATGTTCTCTTGACTTTAATAAACTAGTTATTAAAGCCAAAATATATGCTAAAATATTGTTTTTTTGGTGTATGAAAAATACAATATAATTTTTTTAACTTTGAGACAATTAGCCGTATGCACAAAAATATTTTTTTTAAGGAAGTTTTGATGCAAATCGGGTATTTTAATACATGATTTATATTTTTAAAATATAAAATACAGACCAATATTAAGCAAAAAAAAGATATAAATCAAAAAGTGGGGAAATCACAAGTATTAAAAAATATATATTTTTTTAAATAGGCTAGATGAGGCCCAAATGTATGGGCTAGGCCAAACCCGGCTCAACTATGTGGTGAACAGTGCCCTTTACTATTTACATGCTAAGTGAACAGTGAAGGTGTAATAGGGATGAAGTAGGAGGGAAAAAAAAAAAGAGCTGACCTATGGTGGCTGTTGTTGTTGGTGGAGCTGCTATAAACAACAGGTAGCGGTGCTAGTGGCGGTGTTGGTGGTTTGCAGTGGTGGCAACGACTTTGTTTTTCTCTTTTCTTTTCTCTCTCTCTCTCTCTATTTTTCATTTTCTCCTCTGTTTCTTCTTCTTCTTCTTTTTTCCTTTGGGTCTTCCCCCTTTTTTCTCTACTCTCTCTATTCTTTTATGCTCCTTTTCCCCTTCTCTTTTTGTGCTCTCTCTTCTTTTATTTTTATAGGCAAAAACAAAAAGAGAAAGAGACACGGGTGGCCATTGTGCTGCCGCCCCTCCACCACTCCTCCAACACGCGAAAAGTTTTGGACAAGTAGGGGTCCTTGGTCAGTATCTTTTTTATACTAAAAGAAGGAAGAAAAGACGGTGAAAATACAGGGGAACGCAGCTCCCTTCCCTTATTTCTCTACATGTCCAGAGGTAGAAGAAAGACTATAGTTTCATTCAAAATGGCACCGTTTCAGGTTTTTGTTTTTGTTTTTTGAACAGTGAATAAAAAAACCTTGTTTTGGACAAAACATGTCATTTTATTTAAAAGGAAAAGACGGCAAAAACTTATATCAAAGTCTAAATCAATTTTCAATTTGTAATTTGTTTAATCAAGTTCTAAATTGTAATTTTGATTTAAAAATCAATGTAATTGTATTCCTGTTAAAAATCAAACAACAACCCTGAAGTTGGCTGCTTTTTTTCACTATAGTTTTTTATCTTGAATTTATGTGATTTGACCCTTAATTAAGCAATAAACTTCTAATTTTTTCAATTTAGCCTCTGATTCAGTTTAATTATAGCCCCTTTATTTACTTATTTTTTTCATTTTGGTCATTGGCTTCGAATTTCTTCATTTAAGTCGTTAATTGGCCATCAAACTTTAATATTTATGCAAATAAGCCCTTGATTTGACCAAATTTACTCTAAAAAATTATAATTTGACCCTAGAACTTTAATGTCTTCCAATTAAAGCCCAAATTGACATCAAA